GGCGGGGCCGTCCGGCTTGGCCTGCGCGGGGTGGTTGTGCTCGGCCTGCTCTCAGATCCCGGCCCCTGGAACCGCCGCAGCCCGGCCCGGCCACAGTGCTTGTTCAGGAGTGGTGTCGGCTCCGAAGGCAGCCCGGGTTTAGGAGCCCAGTGCTTTCAGAATGGCTGGGTATGCTAGAGCAACGCACTGCAGTTAGTGCTGTGCAGCGCTGAGAAGACACAGGGGTTTGAATATTCCCTTTTAAATGTAAGCATCTTTTTTATTAGTGAAGTTGTCTACATGAAGTTGCTAAAGACAGCGTCCGATCAATTTGCATAACTTAGCAGTTTCTAAATGAGGAATACTCTGAAAGAATTTACTACTAGAAGTGCATCACACAGAAGCTGGAAGTGCTGTACGTAGCATTTAGATTTTCAGCACGTTTCTAGTAAACACGCAGTGTACATTTGGTTGATGTGTTCTGCATGGCTGGTGGCAGTACTTGAATTCAACTTATTTTTGCCAAGTGATAGTTAACTAATTGCCAGTAATGAATTCTCAGAACTATTATAGGCTTATAGTTTCTGAATTGTTTTGTTTTCCAAAATGTTTTGCAGAGTCTGAGATTGATTCTGTGATTCAGAGTTGATTTCAAAGTGCTTTTTTGTGAGTCAACTGTATCAAGCCTTAAAATCTGCAAAGTGCTGCTGAGAGCAGTCTTCTGTGATGTATAGTTGGAAATTAAATTGTTCACGTCCACTCAAGGCGAGATTTTGGTGTCGTAGATGTGATTTGAATATGTGTCTGCTTCTGTTGTTTTACATGAAACATGTACATAGGCTTTGCGGCCAGTTTTATGCTAAGTGTTTGTAAAAAACACGGACCTGGACATGCTCGAGAAATGGGCCCATGTGAACTTCGTGAAGTTCAACAAGGCTAAGTGCAAGGTCATGCACATGGGTCAATACAGGCTGGGGGATGAAGGGATTGAGAGCAGCCCTGTCAAGAAGGACTTGGGGGTACTGGTGGATGAAAAGCTGGACATGACCCAGCAATGTGCACTTGCAGCCCAGAAGGCCACCCATATCGTGGGCTGCATCAAAAGCAGCATGGCCAGCAGGTCAAGGGAGGTGATTCTGCCCCTTTGCTCTGCTCTGGTGAGACCCCACCTGGAGTCCTGTGTCCAGCTCTGGAGCCCTCTGCACTGGAAAGACATGGACCTGGTGGAGCGGGTCCAGAGGAGGGCCACAGAAATGATCAGAGGGTTGAAACACATCTGCTAGGAGGAAAGGCTGAGAGAGTGAGGGCTGTTCAGCCTGTAGAAGAGAAGGCTGTGGGGACACCTTATTGCAGCCTTTCAATACTTAAAGAGGGTTTATAAGAAAGATGGGGACAAACTATTTAGCAAGGCCTGGTGCAATAGGACAAGGGGTAATGGTTTTAATCTAAAAGAGGGTAGATTCAGACTAGATATAAGGGAGGAATTTTTTACCTTGAGGGTGGTGAAACACTGGCACAGGTTGCCCAGAGAGGTGGCCCAGATGCCCCATTCCCTGAAAACATTCAAGGCCAGGTTGGATGGGGCTCTGAGCAACCTCATCTAGTGGAATATGTCCCTGCTCACTGCAAGGGGGTTGGGCTAGATGACCTTTAGAGGTCCCTTCCAGTCCAAACTATTCTATGATTTTATGATAACTGATGCAGTGTGTAACAGGAAACATCTTTATGTCTATTCCCTATGTCTGGGAGTAGGATCTAATTTTGAAATAATGCAGAAGCTTATAAACACTGAAAAATATTTTTTTAAGAAAAAAGAAACTATATTAAGAGTTATGTGTGTGTGTATTTATCAGTCAAGTCTTCCTGAGGTTGGTAACTTTCAGGTAACAGTCATAAGCATGAGAATTCTGAAATTTGCTTAATAAGCAGAAGCGTGTATATACCTTCTGTGATTTTTAGTTGTGAAATTGGTTTAACCAATAAATTGTGTTAAAAGTAGCTAATGAACAACAGAATCAAAAATAAGGATCATGGTAATAGGCAATGGCAAACAGAATTTCTGAGTTGATATGATCAGTTAATAGAGCAAAAAACGCTGTAAAATATTGTCAGAAAACAAAACTTAATTGAGGGACTTCAGATAGAATGGGAGAAATAAGCAATAAAAAAACAGCTGAAATTATTGATGGGGATAAACATGATACTAATTTGAAGATTCAGTTGGCCTTGGTTTAAGTCTTTTTTTTATGGCCTAGGTACTGATTTAAAGGGTGAGTTTTGTACAGTGAGTAGTATTTTATAAAAATTGTGTTGTAATTTTGTATCATACTTATTCTGGACAAATTCTTCTCTATCATTCTTTTAGCTTGCTCTTGAGCTCCTCTTTTCTGTAACTGGTAAGCAAACCAAACAAACCGAGTTTCAGGACATCATCGAGTTCTCCCTGAAAGCCAGTCTTCTAATAAGGCAGGCGGTGCCTCTGTTCCATGACTAAAGGAAAGTGATTAACACAGTTTATATCAGAATTTGGGGTTTGTGCTTTTCCACTCCCGAGTGTTCTTTGAGATTGCACCAGAGAGACTTGGAGTTTCTTTCCAAGGCATCGAGAATCTCTCTTTCTTACCAAAATGACATTCTGTTAAAAATTCTGCCTTTTTTATTGGATTTTCCCTGCATTTTTCCTTTCTCTGTGATTGTCCAAGCAGATGATCCATCTCCTGATTACACTAACTGAGCACAGCACAAATTGTTCTGTGCCTGGCGATCTTCTTCAGCCAAATTAGCTCAGTTAGCATCATTCAAACACTAGTTCTAACCATCTGTTCAGACAACCCAAGCATGTAGGTGTCCTTGCCACATCCTAGTACAAAGAGTAAAAAATAGTAAGCCACGTTGATGAGACAGTTCATGAAATAAGTGGAGAAGTGATACACCAGGAAGTTCCCCAAATTGCCAAACTCTGTTTCAATACATAATTTATTTTAAAATATAACAACTCTGAGACCTGAGAAGTATTATCAGAGTACATTCAGCAATTACCTGGTTTTGAAAATGAACCAAAATAAAAAAACCCCAAACCACCCACATGGCATTTCACAGTTTGTTATCTGTTTAATACCGGGGACTGTTAGGAGTATTATCCTGTGTGTTAGTATACAGTGCGTAGGCACCCTGAGAAGGCCTTGCTATAGCTGTGACTTCTCTTCCCTTTTTTGTCTCACCAATGAATTTATCTCACTGTGAAGTCTTGCAGATTGCCATACGGCTTGGCATCTGGGACACGAGCCTTACTTACTCTGGCTTTACGTGCATGGAACATAACTGACTAATGGATTTATACCTAGTAACTATGTAAGATAAGAATCACACACTTTACATAGCAATGCAAAATAGTATTAAAAAGTTCTGAAAAGGAAAACAATACTGTACTTATAATACAGATACGTACTAGGTCTGATAATATCCTGGTTATGTAAAGGAAATGAAAGAATTCAAGGTAAGCAATTAAAACATTTGTGTTCTTTCCATATAGTATGAATATATATTTTAGTTATTTTTATAAATACATTTCTGTTCTTACCAGCTCTTAGTCAATAGTAGAGCAGGGTCTCAGCACTGTTTGTCTGCTTGTGTTGTACTGTTTTTTTTCGGAGACTCGCCATAGTTGCTTAGGTTGCACTGGCAAAAGAAGTTGCAATGAATATTCTTTATCATCATTAAATGGTTTTCTTGATCTTGTGTCCAAAGATGAGATGCATGTAGTGCCTTAGTTAAGCTTGCAGCTTTATGGTTCTATACATGCAAGTGAATCGTGGGGCACGGAAGAGTGAACAGTGTACCATTTCATGTCATCAGAACAATTAAAGACAAG